TATGGGTCGAGATACTTCCACTATGAATAAATGGGTCATAAACGGGTTAATGGGTCAATTTGGGTCGGACCATTTTATGACCCGACCCAAACCCGACCCGACTCACCCGTTTAACAGGTCTAGTATTCCACATTAGCGATGTTCCAAATTGCCCTCGCCGCATGCAACTAAGCCGCTGGAGAACTTGATTTGCGCCAGCAACTGGCAAGGGCGAGGGTGAGGGTGAGGGCTTGCAAGCTACCCCAAGTCGAGCGGTGGTGGCGCCACCATCGTGTAACACAGATAAGAGCCTGCAAGCCCTCTCCTTTGGCGATGAGGGCTGGCAGCCCTCACCAATCCTCATGAATGCCTCAACAAGGGTCGTCGGCCCTTACCTAACACTATAACGAGGGTTGCCGAACCTAACCAACGAAGTAGAAAAGTCCGATGATTTTTCTTTTTCTTTGAATTGTGAATTTTTATGAACCCATTATTTAATGATTCCAAATTTTCTTAATGAGGTGATTTTCCCCCCAGTTTTCATATGCACGGAACAAGCGTACCCATTTGCTAGTATATTAGAGCTAACAAGTACGTTTAGTTTTTTTTTTTATCTATCCTACTCTAATTCTCAATTCACTCTCAGACTTTTTTTTTATCTGAAAAGAGATCCAGTTGAAATATATCTTCTCTTCTCTCTTGCTCACACACCTATATCATTATTAAAGGCAACCGCCGTTAGCCGCCGCCCCGAAGTCCGATTTAGCTGAACATTGTGAGTTACTTTTGTTACCTTCAACGTGAAGGCCAATGGTTGAAAGAGAAAAAGGGGAACATGAGAGGGGGCTAACAGAAACTTTCGTAGGCTTGACATTATTAATGAGCCTATCGCCTAACAGAGACGACAGGACGGCCAGCAGACGGGACATTATGGTGACAATCCGGTACATATGGCAAATCAATTTACGAAGACGTGTGTCTGGATAGAGTTTTACATTTTATTTTTTATTTAGACTTCGTTCGTTTTGCATAAAATATTATGTTTCTGAAAATTTCTAGGAAGCTATTTTCTTAAAAATGACATAATTTTTCGACGTTCGGCTGAAATCTGAAAAAGTCTCGAAAAATATTTTCAGTTATTCGGTACGGAAAAGGTTTTCCTCCTTGCAATACTTTTATAATTTTTATTTTTAAAAAATATTTTTAATTTTCTTTTTTCTTTTTTTTCCTTCTTCTTCTTTCTCAGCCGGTCGCTTGCCACAGGCAAGCTTGAGTCTCGCCGGCCTGTGGCGAGGCTCCGTCTCGCCTGATCCGGTAAGAGTGAGCCCGCCCAAGGCCGGTAGGGTGAGCTCGGGCCTCGCCAGATCCAACGAGCTAGGCGAGGCCCAAGCTTGCCGGCCTCAGGCGAGCTCGGCCTCGCCACAAGCCGGTCGCCGACCGGAGAAGAAGAAAGAAAAAAGATAATTAAAAATAATAAAAAATTAGAATTTAAAAAAAAAGAAAATAAAAATAATTATAATGAATAATGAGAGAAGGAAGGGGGAAAATGTTTTCTTCTTTTAAAAAAGTGAAAAATATTTTCTTCATTTTTTAAGGTGTTTTGTCCATTGAGGGAAAAATGGCTAGTTTATTTTTCGTGAAACAAACACCGGAAAACCCGAAATTTTTTTTCCTGAAAGTTGTTTTCTGTCAAACGAACGGAACCTGAGTGTAAGTTTTGCGGTCAAAGGCATTTTGGATTTTTCTAGACTCAAAATAGTCCAAACTTTCGTAATACACAAATGTTGGCGGGGGAAGTAAATTTGTGTTTTGCCTCGAAAAATGCTTAACCAAAGAGGCCCTAGCCGTTAAAATAGGATGGAGATTTTCTGGAGTTAGAATTTAGAGGCATATGAATACCTTGTCCAATTGTCATTCGAGATTGACCAAAATGTCTCTAACTCTAGAGAACTGCCTTTTTTTTTTTTTTTTTTAAGAAAAATGATTAAGTGATAGTCTTTATTCTATTATGAGATCAACAGCCTGTTGTAGAACACAAAAAATTAATAATAAATAATTATAAATTGTTATGAGGTTTAGGGCCTGTTTGGTTCAGCATTTCAAAGCTGCTTTGGGGCTCTAAAGGTCCTTGGGCAAATGCAAAGTTGTTTGGCAATTTTTTTTGCAAGCTTTGAGGAGATGCAATTGCATCTCCAAAGCTCCCCAAGGGCCTTTGGCTGAATGCACCTCATGAGGTCCCTTGGGGAAATTGCATTTTCGGAATGCAAGTGGCACTGTTCACCCCCAGGCGGCGGTCGCCGGGGTCGGGCGACCCCCAGGAGGTGGTCGCCGGAGGTCGGCCGACCCCCAGTGGCGATCGCCGAGGGTCGCCGACCCGGCGACCACGCCTGGGTCGCCCGGCCTCGGGCGGCGCTCGGGTTGCGACCCAGATCTGGATCGCGCGACCCAAGCGCCGCGTGAGGTCGGGCGACCCAGCGGTGGTCGCCCGGGTCGGGCGACCCCCAGGCGGTGGTCGCCGGAGGTCGGCCGACCTCAGGCGAGGCTGGCCGGCGGCCAGATTTGGCCGCCGGAGGTTGGCCGGCGGCCGTTTTGGCCTGCCGGACAGTCGCCGGACAGTCGCCGGCGGTGGCTGGTTCAGGCCGAAAATTTTTTTTAAAAAAATATTAGCAAAAGTCCTTTACAAAATTAAGATTTTACCAAACGGTATTTAGACCAAAGTTGTTTTCAAATGTGATTTTAAAAGACACATTACCAAACACTACTTGCATTTCGGAAAACCCCTTTAACTCAAAGGTATTTGCATTTTGCCAAATGCATTCCCCCAAAGCCGAACCAAACAGGCCCTTACTCTTACAATATGTCGTTACTCTCACAGTAGCTCAAAAGCTGTTACGCAAGCAAAACTCTCTTTTTTTTAATGAGTGTTCCAAGGCACTTATTAAGCAACCAATTATAGAAATATTAAAATTTGCAATGCATCGATGGCTCTCCTATTTATCTGGAAAAATCAAGTATTTCAAATAAATTATACTTAATTAGTCGGGTTGTCTAGTCCGTTAGTAAGGCTTTACCTATTCCAAGGAAACTTGTTAACACGATGGTAAAGAAATTTATCTCGGAAACTTAAGCTTGACTTTCTCTCTCGCTCTCTCCTCTCCGGCTCCCTCGTTGCTCCACTTGCCTCTGCCCTTGCCTAGCACCTCCATTGCCGTTTGCTCCACACCACCGTCGCGCCTCCGCCTCCTCCGTTGTCCGTCGCTCCCTCTCTTTTCTCTCGCAACATAGGCTTGGAGAACTCGTGAATAGAGAGGCTTCCGCCTCGTCTGAGGCGACCTCTGATTGAAGGGTTCCTCAGGCTAGGGACCTAAGGTCCCCTGCGGCAGCACCATTGAAGAGAGATAGAGAGAGATGATGGATCATGGAGACGAGGGCGATGCGGGCTAGATCGCCACGCTACTCGAGCAGAGTCTGTGATGACGGAGGAAATCTTGGCATAGGGTGGGCCACAAGAAGGTGAACATTAAGGTGAACATTGGAAAATGAGAGAAGGGAATAAAAAAAGGATAAAAAGAATCCCATTTTATTGATGGACGAATATCCCAATAATGGAAAATTGAGGATATAAACTTAAGCCGCGTTTGTTTCGCGAAAAAAATAAATATTTTAAAAATAATTTTTTTAAAATATAATCGTTTGTATTACTTACAAAAACGAGCAAATAAAAAATATTCTTATCGTTTATGAAAATGTCGAGGCATAAATTTTTATCGCTAACAAAAACATTCTATTTTTGACTAATTATTTAAAGCAATGCAAATAATTAATTTTACGAAAATATTTTCAACATCATTCATCTTTCGTGAAACAAATAGAGCCTTAATGCCTAACTCGAGAGGTTCCAAATCCATTAAAATTCCACAGTGTTATCAGATTCGACATGAGAACTATCAAACTCAACGGTCTAGATGAATATCAGGACTTTGACCACAGGCTGGCATTCACTAATTTCCTAAGGGATTAATTTTACGTACTCAACTTGTGTAATAATATGTTTTTACCCAACTCACATCTGTCATCCTTAGGCTGGTTAGGTAGTCGGTTTTTTAAATTCTAACTACCCATATAGGTTATGCTAGAAACAGAATAGGGAAACTTACCAAAATAGTCTTAAATATATTATAATTGTGCCAATTCATTTCTAAATATTTTTTTGTGCCAATTCAATCCTAAATTCTTTGCATTTGTATCAATTCAGTCAATCCGGTCAATTTCGGCTAGGCGGCGCTGACGTGGTAATTTTTTAAATATTTTTCGAATATTTTTATTAATTTTTTTATTCTTTTCTTTTCTTTCTTTTCTTTCCCTTTTTTTTTTCCTGCCTTCATCTTCAACCTTTAGCTACCGACTAGGGGCAGGGGCCGGCGAGGTCGGCCCCGCCAACCGCTGACAAGGCTCAAACTCTCCCTCGCCCAGCAACGACGAGGTCTAGCCTCGCCAGCGGTGGGCGAGGCCGTCCTCGCCCGGCCATGGCAAGGCTCGTCCTCGCCCGGTTGCCGCGAGGCCAACCTCGCCAGTTGCCGCGAGTTCAAGCCTCGCCTAGCGACGATGAGGTTGAGCCTCGCCAGCGGCTAGCGAAGCCGACCTCACGGGGGCCGGTCGCCAAGATGAAGGCAAGAAAAAAAAGGGAAGAAAAGAAAAAATTAAAAATTTTGAAAAAATATTTAAAAATTGACACGTCAACATTGGCCGGACGGCTAGCGTCCACGTCAATGTTGGCCAAACGGCCGGTGTCCACATCCATGCTAGCTAGCCAAAATTGGCCGGATGAACTAAATTGACATAAATACAAAATGTTTAGAGTTTAATTGACACAAAATAAAAAAGGTTTATGATTAAATTGGCATTATTGCAATAAGTTTAGGACTATTTTGATAATTTTCCCAACAGACTGTATAGATTATGTAATATAAAAAGTCCTTTTTCGATACTGAAAATCGTTGAAGCTCCTCTTATAAATTAGTACTTGGGCATCCAACCTTGTCAACTCATAAGACCCCCACCATACATTCCAAATGGAGGTTGAAGTGGTATCCAAGGAATTCATAAAACCATCTCGTCCCACACCAAACCACCTCAAAATCCACAAGCTGTCCCTTCTTGATCAGTTCTTTCCTAGCTTATACATTCCCTTGGTCCTTTACTACACCGTCAACGAAGCTGAAGAAGCCACCAGAAAAGCAAAACACATACTACCACTTCTGAAGCAATCTCTGTCCGAAACCCTAGCACTGTTCTATCCCTTGGCGGGGAAGATCAACGACGGCCTCTCCATCGAGTGCGATGACGAGGGCGCTCTCTTTGTCGAGGCCAGGGCCGATTTCCCCCTACCGCTGCTTCTCCACCAGCCTGATCTGGAAACGATTGCGAAGCTCCTTCCCTGCCCCGCCGCATGGGCAGAAGCAAAAGCAGGAGATCGCGTGGTGATGGTCCAAGCGACCGCCTTCGCCTGCGGCGGAGTTGCGGTCAGCGTGCTCATTTCGCATGCCGCCGCAGATTGCGCCTCGTTCTCTACTTTCCTCAAAGGTTGGGCAGCCATGGCCCGCAAAAGCGGCGGAGCTCCGCATCCCAACTTCGATGCATCCTCGCGGTTCATTCCAAGCAAAGGGCTCGCCGAAGAGGACTCCATGTCAGCCATTTATCTCCCTTTTCTCAAAACAAGCAGGTATACGAGTGCTAGCAATTTGGATGGTAATGCATGTCAGGAAAACAAAGTACCTTCATACTATAGATAGATACTCATTATGAAATTGTCTATATATGCTCCAGAAACAATTACATATATCAAGTTCAAAACAGACAACTATAGAAACCTACACAAGCATCGACTTTGGTGGTTTTGAATTGATTTTCCTGAAGTCACAAAATATTTTACTATCAAATTAGTTTTTTATAAAAGACTGACCTAAAATGATTTTGCAGAAGTATCTATTTAAAGAAGAGGGAGATATTCGCACACTCAAACTTCGACGAAAAAAGTAATTTGCATTGCAGAAACATTTTGCAAGTATCTTTCAAATCCAATCACGGGACACATTGTAATCAACATCGTAAAAGTAGCACATGAAGATTCCCTGTTGGGTGCAGGATTGTGATGTTAGGTGACAATGAAATCATAGGTAAATTTACTAAATATGGTCTATAAATTGATACGTTAAATTATGAGATTGATTGCAAGCGTGCATTTAAACAAATGGCTCATGTTTAAGCTCTAATAATACTATGTCACGGTTCTCTGTACCAATTTTGTGAACCACTCATTGGAAAATAACCGAAACAGTCCTAAGCCTATTGCAATTGTGCCAATTCAATCCCAAACTTTTTTTTTTCGATTTTTAAAAATATTTCTTCCTTTTCTTTCCCTTTCGTTTTTTTTCTTCCCTTCATCTTCAACCTCTAGCCGGTCGCTGAACCAGCCGCTGGCCAGAGGCGGGGGCTGCTAGCAAGGTCGACCTCGTTAGGGGAGGGCAAGGCCGACCTCACTAACGATGGCGAGGACGAGCCCTTGCCAGATCTAGTGAGGCTCGAACTCACTGGCAACTGGCTAAATCGACCTCACTTAGCAACGGCGAGGCCGAGCCTCGCCAGCGACGGTAAGGACAAGCCCTCACTAGATTTAGTGAGGCTCGAACTCGCCGGCAACATGCGAAGTCGACCTTGTGCAACAACGGTGAGGTTGATCTTGCCCAGCAACGGCGAGGTCGAGCCTCGCCAAGGGCGAGCAAGGCCGACCTCGCCAACAGCGGCGAGGACGAGCCCTTGCCAGATCTGGCGAGGCTCGAACTCGCCTACCGCCAACGAGGCCAACCTCGCCGACCCCTACCTCTGGCCGGTTGCTGGTCCAGCGACTGGCTAGAGATTGAAGATGAAGGGACGAAAAAAGAAAAGAAAGGGAAATAAAAGAAAAAAAAGGAAAAAAAAATTTATAAAAATTGCCACTTCAGCGTTGGCCGGACGGCCAGCGCCAGCCGGCGTCCACGTCAGTACCGGCTAGCTAAAATTGGCTGGATGGACTAAATTGGCATAAAATAAGTTTAGGATTGGTTTAGTAATTTTCCCAACCACTCATAGTTTTAAAGTTTATACATGGCATTTTTCTCTCGGTTTATGGGAAATTAGCGATAATAAAGTGTATCATTGTTGTTGCAAATCATAACTTGGACACGTCTATGAGCATATGGTACTTTTTAATTGTTTCGTGAAATTGTATAGGTAATAAAAATGAAATGCATCTAGCATTAGAAGTGCCCTACATTCGTACGCATCAGCTTAGTTTGATGAATATTGATGTGTCGTCCTTCCCAAGGTGTGGTACGCGGAGATTCGTATTCGACTCATCGGCCATGGCAAGGCTCAAGGCCAAAGCAACCAACTCGCAAGTGCAGAACCCGACTCGAGTGGAAGTCGTCACGGCTTTAATGCGCAAATCGATCGTGGCCGCATTGAACAAGGTATCCAACCTTGAAAAGCCTGTGGGCATGATCCTTCCCCTGAACATCCGCCGGAGAGCCGTCCCGAGTTTCCCTGATGACTCCACGGGGAATTACGTATGGGTCATGACCGTGCTATGCTCGCCTGAAGAGAAGGATAACGGCCTGCCAGACCTCATCAGCCGTTATCGAGAAATCAAGGACAAAGTAGACGGTCCATTCGTGAAAGGTTTCGTAGGTGATGGTGGATCGGTCATGCTAAGTAACGCCGTTAGGGAAATTGGTGAGTCGTTCGCCGGCGTGCAAGATCAAGTGACGATCACGAGCTGGTGTAACTTCGATCACTACGAAATCGATTTCGGCTGGGGGAGGCCGGCATGGGTGAGCACGGTCGGGTTCACAGAGGAAATGCAAAACAGGCCGACGGACTTCGTGACTCTACTGGACACGAAGTCGCGCAAAGGAGTCGAAGCATGGGTTTTCATGGGCGAGCATGAGCTTCACGTACTCGAACAAAACGAGGAGCTTTTGGAGTTTGCTTCAATAAATCCATCTACTCTACTGACGACCCATGGTTAAATAAGTGGGTTTTTATTATATTACGTCTACTGCTTAATAAATAATTTGGTTAATACCACGAAAAATTTCAAACTTGTACATCTATAACAAATTTACCTTGAACTAATTTTTTGACTATCAAAAACCCCAAACTGGTACGCCTGTGACAAATTTACCCTCCGTTAGTTTCTGTTAAATTTTATCGTTAAATTACTGAGTTGGATGACACGTGACAATTGACAGGTGTACCAGTTTAGGACTTTACCCCTCTGTTTGTCACATATTCACCTATTTGTGATTTTTCGTGGTAGTAATTCAATTTAACAGAAAGTAAATTTATCACAAGTGTACAAATTTGAGGTTTTTGGTGGTAAAAAAATTAATTTAGGATAAATTTGTCACATGTTTATCAGTTTGGGGTTTTTCGTAGTCAAAAAATTAGTTCGGGGTAAATTTGTCACAAGTGTACCGGTTTAAGATTTTTCGTGATATTAATCCTAAATAATTTACACACTCACCGTTATATCGTTGACATGTAAAAGGTTATGAAACCAACTCCAAACACACATTCATTTATCCGACGCTGAATGTGTAAGAAATTCTACACGGTGGCAGCGAGCTTCTTGTTTAGCTTTTTACGGAAAGAAGTTGGTTTCATTTAAATTAAAGGGCCTCGTTTTTCGCCCAATGGGGTGGTCGAAACTTGCTTCAACCACCCTTCCGATTGATTTAAAGGATGAACATAACTCATATTTATCGTAATTAATTATTTCACGTGAGTGGTGTCTATAACTTATAAACAATAAGTTAAGAGGATATTGCAAAGAGGTTTCCTTTGCTCAATAAAATAGGATTAAGTGATGAACGAGCTCCAGTTTTTTTATTGTTACTTTATGAAGCTGTTTAGTCTAGTGGAACTAGGTAAAGGTGTGAATTTAATCATTGGTATGTATTTTGTAATTGGAGTAATATCACGAAAAACTTAAAGCTGGTACAACTGTGAAAAATTTATCCTAAACTAATTTTTTGACAATCAAAAACTTCAGACTAGTATATTTGCGACAAATTTACCCTCATTTTAATTGGATTAATACTACAAAAAATCACAAACTGGTACACCTGTTACAAATTTAACCCAAACTAATTTTTTGACCACCAAAAACCCCCTAACTGGTATATTTGTGACAAATTTATCCTAAATTAAGTTTTTGACAACCAAAATCGCAAACTAGTACATTTGCAACAAATTTACTCTCCTATAAATTGGATTAATATCACAAAAAATCACAAACTAGTACACCTGAAACTCCAAACTGGTACACCCGTCAACTATCACGTGTCATCTAATTTAGAAATTCGATGGTAAAATTTAACGGAAACTTATTTAGTGTAAAATTGTCACAATGGTACCGGTTTGGGTTTTTTATGGTCAAAAAAATTAGCTTTGGGTAAATTTATTATAGGTGTATTAGTTTGAGGTTTTTCGTAAAATTTACCCTTTGTAATTTTAATAAAAAATGCTAGCGTTGCGTTTTGTTACCTAACGTCTTTCCTTGACGAAAGGTTTCTTGAAAATAAAAGAAAGAAAAGAAGAGTTTAAACGGTGGTTGCGAACGGCTTGTCAAAATTGATTCTTATATTCTTAAGACCTGTTTGTCTATGTGACATTTCCGGAAAATAATTTTTACGAAGTCATTTTTCAGGAAAATGAAAAAAAAATCAATGTTTACTAAAACCTGAAAACGTGCTGGAAAATATTTTTCGTTGTTTGGTAGTGAAAATTTGATTTGATTTTCCTAAATAAATATATATTATTCGGGGTGCTAGTAACTTGCGCATGGGCAGCCATGAAATCGAGTACGAGCATTAGAGTCTCAGGTCTGGCCTCGATGGACCCGACCTGACCGTTGGGGATTGGGGCACAAGCACTTGGGTCTTGAGCCCGACCTTGATGGATCGGGGCACGAGCACTAATATTTCATGCCCAGCCTTGATGGACCTGAGTACGTGCTCTAGAGTCTTAGGCCTCGGCCTTAATAGACCGTAGCTCGAGCACCAGGGGCCTGAGCGCCGAGGACCCAAGCACGACCTTTGTAAACCTAGGCCCGAGTGCTGAGGGCCAGAGCTCGAGTGTCAGCGATCCAAGCACACTGCCTTTGTGGACCCTAGCCCGAGTGTTGGGGATCCAAGCTAGGGTACCGGGATCTCACATTCGGCCTTTGTGGACCCGGACCTGGGTGCCGGGGCATCAGGCACGGGCATCGTGGCTTCGAGCCTAGCCTCGATGGACCCAAGCGCAAGTGCTGGGGTCCTAGGCTCGACTTTGATGGCCCAGGCGCCGAAGACCTGATTTGGACGTTGAGGTCTCGAGTACCAGCATTGGGGTTTTCATACCCAAACATAGAGTTTTTAGTCCAAGCACCGATACCTAATCATATTTTGGAAAATAATTCCTATTTTGGAGAGAAAATCATTTTCTTGAATTTAAGTATAGATTTTCCATTGACTCATTTTTCTAAGCGAACCAAATGTCGGAAAATGAGCAAGATATTTTCCGAGAAACAGATTGAGCCTTAAAAATTACTTTTTCCTTTGTCCGACAGTGGCAAAAAATTGGGCAAACCGGCCTGGACCAATCAATCTTAGATGTACCATTCACTCAAATTCAAACGTAATTGCATATGAAATTAAAATGAGATTTCAAAATTTGCCGCCTCGCATCACCTGATTGGTCGATTTCTTCGAGATAGATTTTTACAAGGAAGATTAATCCTCTCTCTCTCAGAGTGACCCCAGATTGGCCGTTCTGAGGTCGACCAAGGTTGGCACCCACAGATCAGCCTCAACCTGCGGTCGTCGGTGCGCAGCCCACCACGGTTGACGATCTTCATGCTAGGGAAAGCCGGGCTTTCCTTAGCGATGGTCGACAATTCACTTCGCGGTGGTGGGAACCATGGTGGATACGCCGGTGGATGCTACGAGTTGAGCGCCGGGGATGGTGCGGATGCGATGGCAAGGTGGAGGGTTGTGGAGGTGCGGAGGCCATGGTTGAACAAGCAAAAACAGGAAGAGAGAGATGGGGTTGGGGTTGGGCTAATTTTTGGTTTTCTTTTTCTTTTTATTTTTTGTTATGTGTTTTGAAATTGTATGTGAGTCAATTTCCAGATGAGTAACCCACCAATTAGGGACTGATGGAACAAAGAGCGCTTGTCCCTATTTAGTACTCTCACAAGCGATTTCGGAATGAAGAATATGGATATGTTTATAGAAGGATTCTACTCGCTAAAGCAAAAGATTTGTACATGAATGCCATTCTTTAAATTAAGATTTTTGAAAAGTCATATGAACACTTCAATTTGAGAATTGCTTCACTTCAAACCACTCCTCTCTACCGGTAAAGACGCGCGACATATTTTTGAGTGAAAGACCCTGCTATAAATAATGCTCTTGTGCTAATATATATACAGATAGGGTGTTAACACGTCGGTTCGGTTCGGATTTTATTGATACCTGAACAACCTTGTACACGAACAATATATAATTTTTATGACCCGAACTATACAGAACCTGAACTGAAATGACGGTTCAAGTCGGGTCGGGTTTCTACTTCACGACCTTCTTCTTCTTTTTTTGCCCTTCCTCCCTTCATCTTCGTCCCTTTAGATCCCCTGTCACAGAGCTACAACAAACAGAAAACAAAAAAGTTGCCAGTTCAGATTCCTTGTGTGAGGCAAGCATCATTGCATTCAACAAATGGAGAAAGAGAGAGAGACTAAATATGCCAATCCAGAGAGTTCGAGTCCTTAAAATTTCACTGGTCACAGTGATTTACAGAACTTGAAAACAGTAAAACAGAGCCGTGGATCCATGTATCGAGAATGATGGAAGAAAGAAACAGAGTCGAGTACATCGAGATCTTGACGTCCATGGACGCATCCAAATCTGGACTGCCATGAAAAGCTAAATGACCAGGAACGACGGCTCTACAGAATTGGTGGTGAGCTGTCACGCCCCGAACCCCAACGGGCTCGCGACACCCCTTCCACGGTCGTATTGAACGCGACGTCCCAGGACGCGTCGCCGACCCAAACGAACTACGCAAGCGGAAGCGAAATAAAACAACCCAGACAGTAAAATATGACGAAGGGATAGCACAAAACAATAATTCTAAATACACAACATTAAAACGGAGTAGTGGTTGGATATCCTACTTCGCTATACAAAAGAGGGGCACACAAAAATATGGGGCAACTTGACCAGTACTTGATCTCCGAGATACCCTTGCAGCGTCTCCAATCACTCATGGTCGCGGATTTGAAATGGTTATATAATAACCGTGAGAACGAGTCTCAATAAGCAACCCCCTATACCCCACGTAGGCCAATGCGTACCCAGACAAGTCGTACATGCAATCTACCCCACAACATATAAAATTCACGTCATTGTACTTACCTCGCCATCAAACGCATGCTCTGCACGTTAGTTAAACGTGACAATGCAATATTAATAGTCTAATAACATATCACAATCACTCAAGCACCAACCACACTAGCACTCAATCAATCCAACCAATTCAATCACACATTCAATCAGCCAGTCCAATCAATTCAATCACACTCAACTCGCATACGTGGCCGAACAACTTTCCACGACCTCCCGGGTCCTTTCACAGCTTGCCGCGCCACTGCGCCTCGGGCCCAATCTCACGGCCGCGCCCGCTGCGCCTCGAGGCTCGCCCTTAGATCAAGCCGGGCTCGGTCCCCGCGTAACCATGCCTCGGGACATTTCTCTCGACCCGCGTAACCACGCCTCGGGTCATTACTTGCCTTTCTAGCCACACCCGCGTAACCACGCCTCGGGTTGGCGGCCACTCGAGATCAAGCCGGGCTCGGTCCGCGTAACCACGCCTCGGGACATTTCTCTCGACCCGCGTAACCACGCCTCGGGTCATTACTTGCCTTTCTAGCCACACCCGCGTAACCACGCCTCGGGTTGTGACCCTCGGATCAAGCGGGCTCGGTCCGCGTAACCACGCCTCGGGACATTTCTCTCGACCCGCGTAACCACGCCTCGGGTCATTACTTGCCTTTCTAGCCACACCCGCGTAACCACGCCTCGGGTTGGCGACCTCGAGATCAAGCCGGGCTCAGTCCCGCGTAACCACGCCTCAGGACATTTCTCTCATGCGCATGCACCACCACACAATCTGTCATCTAACACGTCGTACATTTCACAATCAAATTACCAAGCTCACACCAATGTCAATCTGACACACTCTAACAACCAATTTAATTCACACTCCCCACGTCGGTCCACCGACCCGACATTCATGTCGGCACATTCAAATAATCCAATTCACCCACAAGCGCCACGACAATTCAGTCAGGCATATTTATCTCAGTCAATCACTAAATCAGCCGCACAATTATCGCCACAATAATTCACCAATTAAGCACAATCAGTCTAATTAGCCCACGCCTAATTAAAGTCCTAAGCCGGTACTAAATTTCACCCTAAACAAGTCTAAAAATACCCAAAATACTAGGTAGGGTTTAGGAAGTCACTTACCTAAGTTTGGCCCCGGAAAAGTCGGCTCGGGCTCAAAATGGCCCGGGTGAACAGTACCGGATTGGGCGCGGGCGCGGGCCAACAGGCGCGGTGGCCGGCCAACGCGGGCACAATGGCCGATCGGCGTGCACGCGCGCGCAGCGCGATGGCCGTGCGGCGTGCCAGGGGCGCACGGGCGAACGGACGGGCGACGCGCCTGGTTGGATGGGCGACAGCGCTGGTCGGACGGGCACGGCGCGGGCGACGGGCGCGGCACGGGCGCGGGCGACGGGCACGGGCGCGGGCGTGGGCGCGGCTTGGTCGCGTGGGCGACAAGCCGGCCACGGCCTGGGCTGGCCGACCGGGCTGGTGGTTGGCTGGGCGGCGACGCGGCGGTGACGGCGATCGGCGGCGGCGACGCTGGGGGCAGGAAATGAACGGGGAGAAAAAGAGTGAGCCGGGGGTGAGGATGAGGAGAGAGGATCGAGGCCGAGGGGAGGTGGCGAACCGGCGGCGATGGGGCGGCGCGGCGGCTCGCGGCAGACGGCGGGCACGCTGACCGAACCTGGCAGGCGAAGCAGCGCGAACCGCGACGGCCGGACGTGGCGAGCTCGAGCTGGTGGTTGGGTCGCTCGCTCGCAGCGGCAGCAGCGGCAGTCGGTGTGCGCGGGGACGACGGCGGCGATAGCCAGGCGCGGCTGGGCAGCGCCGGCTGGGCGAGCAGAAGCGGAGGCGAAGCACGCGGCGGGCTCGAGCAGCAAGCCGGGCGCGAAGGGGAGGGAGAGAAACAGGGGAAGGGGGATGGTCGCACGGCGGCCGGAGGCGGCACGGCGGCGGGGCGAGGCCGGACGAGCTAGTCGGTGGCTCGGCGGAGCCTGGCCTCGTCGGACACGACGGTGAGCTGAGCTGGGCAAGGGCGGGCTTGGCTTGGCGAAGGAAAATAGGGGAAGGAGAAGGAGAGGGGGGGCTCGTGGCGGCGACGGCACGGCGGCTGGCGGGCCGAGCGGCGTCGGCGCACGGTGGCCAGGCGAGCTTGGGCGGACGGTCGGGCGGAGCGCGGGGCGGTCGCACGGCGGACGGCGTGCGGGGACGAAGCGAGCGAGCGGTCGGGGCGGGGAGGAAGAAGGAAGAGAAGAGAAGAGAGAGAGAGAGAGGGAAGAAGAAAGAGAAGAAGGAAGAGGAGAGAGAGAGTGGTGTGTCAGAGGGTTGGTCTGCATGGGCGCGGGCTGAGGGGACGTTGCATGGGGGAGACATGCGCGGCCAGGAGGGGAGAGAGAGAGAGAGAGAGAGAAAGGTGGGACAGACGCAATGAGGAGAGAGAAGGAGAGGACGGACGCGTTGGGGGAAAAAGAAACGTGCGCGGCAGAGGAGAGAGAGGAGAGAGAAGAGAGCCAAAAAGTCAACGCGCACTCGAGCGCGATCCAACGGACACGGTTCAAATTCGGAAAACGATCTAACGGTCCGCAAAAATCCAAATTAATATTATAGGACAAATGGCCAAAATAAAATAACTCAAAACACACTACGAGGGAGGTCTACTAGTCCAAATTCGCACCCGGTCAAAAATCCACTTTCTCACTATTCCTGATAATCTCGACGTTGGCCACAACAATACCGACACCGTCCAATTTATTTCTTCCCGAAACTCCCGAAAATCGACTGCCAAGTTCAGGGTCTAAATAACAGCCAAATTCGATCGAGTGCGATTCTAGCGAAATCTCTAATTTAAAATGATAACCGGGAGTGATCAGTTCCCGGGCGAGATTTTACTATAAGCACACTGACAAATTACGCGTTTTATAAAATCCAAAAATGGGCCGAAATTCGGGATGTCACATGAGCTGTTCGAATAGATCTAGAGGTGGCGCCGCCGATGGAGGTCTGGTGGACGATGGCAGAGAGGGTGACGGAGGCGAACTTGCTGGTGAAGGTGAGGGGATGGTGGCGGTGCTGATTGTTAAGGGAGAGGGAACCGTAAATTCTTTATCGTTTTAGGGTTCATTTTCTATTTACCTGAACCAAATGAGACCCGAATTTTTGGTTCGGTTCGGTTTGGGCAGTTTCGAGTATTTTTAACCCCCTGTATAACTTAAAGTAAAGGGAAAAATTATGGGTTTAAATATCAAAGAAGATGTGAATACTCAGCTTTTTGTTGGATTCATGATCAATATTCTTAAATTGTGTTCATTGAAAAGACTTCTATAAGTAGAAGGAAAAATGACACTAAGGGAGGGAAAACTGTTTTACGGAAATTGTTTTTTGACTTTTTAGTATTGGGACAATGAAAAATTAATCAATACACGGAAAATGTTTTCCATGAACTAAAAAACAAGAAGTTTAGTTGGGAGAAAATGACTTCCCCTTATAATAAAAAAGAATCACTTTCTTTAAACCACAAAACAAATGAAAATCGACCATTTTCCTTGAAAATAATTTTCATGAAAAGTATTTTCCTATATCAAGAAGTTTTTAAGGAAACAAACACACCCTAATAGTCCTTATATTTGAGTCAACATGCAATGTCATCTCCTAACTTTCAATTTGTTTTGCATGGTCCCTGAATTATTCTAAATGTTTAGTATAGACCCTAAACTACGTGAAGAAGTTTAATGTCATCTTTTCGTTAGTTCGAGTTACCACTATATGTTGATGATAGCCTTCAATTTGCTAAGTTTGAATGATGGAAAAAATAAAAATTACATGTGTATTTTCTAATCATATATTCACATTAAACGTGAAAATATTAATTATCTCAAAACAACTTAAACCCGAGGTACTCTAACGGACGGTAATCACTTTTCTTCCTTCATTCAATATTGACAATGCTCTCATCAATTCTCTCGTTCTAGGATTGCTGGTCCCCCGGAAAGCTATATAAGGTCAAGAAGAATGAGGTAAGTCTTAGAATATTTGTTAAGAATGAATGTCAAGATTTTTATTTTTGAGGGATAGAGGTGGATTTAGGGGTTCCACATTAAGTGCTTTTTTAAAGATGATATAGTGCTCAGTTTATCTGACTCGATCAAAGTGCAGTTATGGCATAAAGTAGGAATAATTTATAATGGCGAGTTGTGTCATCTAATGCCCCGTAAGGGTATGAAAACAATATTGATTGCACTACAAGTTTTCTTAGATTATTTTAGGATCAGTAGTTCTAAAACTTGTTACAAAAGTGCAATTGTTGAAAAAACCTCATATCAAAATTTTAAATTAACAAAACTATCCATAATTTATGTCGATCTTAATAAATACAAGAGTGTTTGTGTTCCAGGTTGTATCCGCATTGAAGAACTTTGATATAATTGGTAAAAAGATTTTGTTTGATTTGAAGAATCTATGTGGAGCACACTTAATATTGGATATACCAAAGTGTTGGGTCTACGGAATCTACATCAGTATCGTAATTAAAGTATCTCTAACAAA